ATAAAGCACTGGGCTAGAAACCAGAAGACTGAGCTTGGCCCAAAGCAGCTGGGTTCCTTGTTCATCCTTCTTAGCCCTAGGAGAAAGAACGCAAGGACAAACCGCTTCCAAAATCACGCCAAGAAAACTGAAGGGATTTGTCACCAGGAAAGCTATAAAAAGAACAAAAGGAAACTGATGAATCAGTTTGAACTGCAAACTTTAATGGTTGAATAGAACAAAGAATTAGCAATTCCTATTATAACTAGGCAATGGGCAGAGATGTCAACATCAATATCGGGTCTTCAAAAGATCTCGGGTAATATTTTCTTCCACAAAATATTATAGATTTATTGGACTCCATTATTTTTACATCAAAAGGGCTTGAATAAATTATGGTTATTGGCTATGCGATGCTTAAAAAAAAAAGCTTGCACCATGTCCTATAATGGTTTCATTTGGGGAGAAAGTTATTAACCGGTATTAACTCGACAATGAGACATTTAATATTCCCAGATGTTCTTTTGTGGTCTTTTTGGAGCTATGTTTGTATTGCATCGAAATTGTCAAGGGAAGGTCTAAGAAGCTGCCACAGAAGAAGGGGGCCAACCTATTTATCAAAGCACCTGAAGGCAGGATAAGAAGCAATGGATGGAAACTAATCAAGGAGAGAAGCAACCCAGAACTAAGGAGAAATTTCCAGACACTGAAAACAATTAACCAGTGGAGCAGCTTGCCTCCAGAAGTTGTAAATGCTCCAACACTGGAAGTTTTAAAGAAGAGACCGGACAGCCATTTGTCTGAAATAATATAAGGTTTCCTGCCTGACAATGGGGTTGGACTAGAAAGGTCCGTTCCAACTATTCTGTTAAAGTGGATTCTCCGTGCCCCATTTATATCTAAAATATTTAATTCTTCAGCATTAGAAAGTTAAATATAGAATCCAGAGAACTTAATATCTGCAAAAGTGGCTAGCAACCTATGAATCATTCGCATTGAGATGTGGATTATCTAGGGGTGATTAAAATGAAACATGGCTACAGCTCACTGAAATCTTTAGAACTTATATAGGAGTATCTCTGAATATATGTGTGTGTGGTTTTTGGTTTGCTTGTTTTTTTCTTCTTCTCTTTGTCATTTTCTTTCTGGTTTATTTTTCTTTCTGTTGATTTAATTTTTAAATTCAATGAACAACAGTATAATTCTTTTTTTTTTTTAAAGACAACATGCCATCTCTTAGAACAGCATGGACCGACTTGGTTCACAAATGGTTTCTTTTTGTTCTAAGGCTGGAAGTTCTGGATTGAAACTGACTGAGCTTTGCAAGAAGCATTTCCGAGAGCTCCAGCTGCTCTCACACCATGTGTATGGTTAAGGGGACTACATTTGTCACTAGGGATGTCATGATAGCAGTGTTCCAATATCTGAGGGGTTATCACAAAGAAGAGGGAGTCCACCAGTGTTGGGATTCAAATTTTTTTACTACCAGTTCTGTGGGCGTAGCTTGGTGGGCATGGCAGGAGAAGGTACTGCAAAAACCCATTTCCTCCCCACCCCACTAAGCTGCTTTCCAGCTCTGTTCTCCTCTGTAGGGAAACAAAAGAAGACCCAGCCAATCAGCTGGGACTCAGGAGGCAGAGAATAGATGGGGGCGGGGCCAGTCAGAGGTGGGATTTGCCGGTTCTCTTAACTACTCCAAATTTCCACTACCGGTTCTCCAGAACTGGTCAGAACCTGCTGAAGGCCATCTCTGGAGTCAACCTATTCTCCAAAGCCCCTGAAGGCAGGACAAGAAGCAATGGGTGGAAACTAATCAAGGAGAGAAGCAACTTAGAACTAAGGAGAAATTTCCTGACAGTTTAGGACAATTAATGTTTTCCTTCTGAAGTTCTAGGTGCTCCATCACTGGAGGTTTTTAAGATGCCATTGGTCCAGAATGGTATAGGGTCTCCTACTGGAGCAGGAGGATGGACTAGAACAGGGGTCTCCAACCTTTTGGACCTCAGGGACCACCAACACCATAATTTGAAATCCCACGGACCACTAATATGAATTTTGACTGACGGTGGCTTGCTGACGTTGATGGGAAAGTCGGTCCCATATTCCAGAGCTGCAGTAGTCACAGAACTGGCCCTTTGGTCACCACGGAGCAGCTGCTCCACCGCCCCGGGTGCACTGTCCTGCCATGGACTGGAGGATCTGCTCCTGGATGACTGACTTTCTCACCAACGTCAGCAAGCCACCCCAGGGCGGATTTCCCTCCCCTGCCATTGGTCTTATTTTCCAGTTCCAGCTTGCATGGCTCTTCTCAAGGTAAGGTTTGCGCTTGGCTGAAGGGTGGGGGTCAGTGGGTGGCCAGGCCATGTGGGCGGCACAGTCTTGTGTTCCCGCGCAGCCTGGATTAATTGCTTTGGGGGGGGGGACATTTCTCTGCGGACCACCAACATTTTCTCGCGGACCACCAGTGGTCCCCAACCCACCGGTTGGCGACCACCGGACTAGACCTCCAAGATCCCTTCCAATTCTGTTATTTGGTTATTTGGGCATTCCCTTTAAACTTGGGGAGTGGGAAGGATATTACAAGGCAGATGAGGAGTGGAGGAGATGGCTGATGTATGAAGAATGAGTGTGACTGGGACACAAAAGCCAGATTTGTCTCCCCAGGGATGCTTAAGTAACGTATCTGAGAAACCACTTCGCCCGATGGGATTAGCCCACCCCACCTATGCTGGCAGAAGGGACATGTTGTGGATCCCGTCAGCCAGGGAATTTTGGCTGGAGGGATCCAGAAGAGCCTTTTTTGCCATGGTTCTCACCCCCTGGAAAATCTTGCTCCCCCTCCCAAGGTCGGATCCGCTTCCACCCTTTTCCCCTCCCTTTCCAACGGCCTTGGAAACGTGGCTATGCCGACTAATCTGTGGCCCCAATGGGGATGTGACACATTGGAGGTGGCTGATGGAACATCTCCACCCTATGAGCACTTTCCCCCACTACCCCTCCCTCTGCATCTTTTTTAAATCAATTTTTAATTTTATTCAAAATATTCAAATGCAAATTCCAAAGAGGAAAAAATAATACAAAACAAAGCTAAACGATTCTACAGCCCCAAAAATTGGATAAACAAAACATGCATATACATAAATTGTCCTCCCCAGTTGTATACTGATAAATCTATTTCAAAGATAATAACTTCTCCCTCCCTTGTGAAGCAGGCACACAATTTATAAATTTGTACGATATTGTTTACCCAAATCCACTTAGCCTGACATCTATTCTAGATTGATATCCTGCTTGGTTTTATTTTAATTGCATTTTGAAATGTAAGATGTTCATTTATTGTTTTCATGTTCTGTCCTGCATTTTAACAGAATTAACAGTTGGAAGGGACCCTGGAGGTCTTCTAGTCCAACCTCCTGCTCAAGCAGGAGACCCTATACCATTTCAGACAAAAGGTTGTCCAATCTCTTCTTAAAAACCTCCTGTGATGGAGCATTCAATAACTTGGTCCTCAGCACCAATAAGACCAAGGAGCTTATAGTGGACTATAGAAGGAACAGATCAGACATCCCTTATCCATAGAGACCGAGTGGAGCAAGTGGTCAGTTTTAAGTTTCTGGGTGTTACCCTAAAAGAGGACCTGACCTGGGGTGCCCACATTGCAGCCCTGGTCAAAAGGGCCCAGCAGAGATGATACTACCTGAGGCTTCTCAGAAAACAACAACTGAATGGAAAACTGCTGGTGACCTTCTACCGCTGCACCATAGAGAGTATCTTAACTTACTGCACCTCTGTATGGTTTGCCAATTGCACAGGGGCAGATGGGAAAGCACTCCAGAGGGTTAACGTCATTGCCCAGGGGATCATGGGTTGCCCTCTCCCCTCTTTGGAAGTGCTTTGTAGCTCCCACGGCCTTAAGAAAGTTCAAAACATTCTCAAAGATCCATCTCATCCTGGATCTTTATTTGAACTATTACCACCTGGCAGACGGCACAGGATAATAGGCTGAAAAACAGCTTCTATCCCAGGGCAGTAACTCTATTGAATTCTACTGTATAGTGCAATATGAATGCAATATCAGGGGTTTTCAATTCAATGTATAGAATGCGAAGGAGGTGTGTTTATTTTCATGGTCATGATGTGCGCTGAAGATGCTGTTTGATTTCCTTGTATGAGGTCCAATGACAATAAACTAAACTAAACTAAATTCACAACTTCTGATGGCAAGCAGTTCCACCGATTAATTGTTCTAAACTGTTCAGAAATTTCTCCTTAGTTCTAGGTTGCTTCTCTCCTTGATTACTTTCCATCCATTGTTTGTTCTACCTTCTGGTGCTTTGGGAAATAGGTTGACCCCCTCTTCTTTGCGACAGACATACAAATATTGGAATACTGCTTTCATGTCACCCCTGGCCCTTCTTTGCACTGGACTAGACAAACCCAATTCCTTCAACTGTTCTTCATACGTTTAAGCCTCCAGCCCCCTTCATTGAATAACACAGACATTTTATTCATTGTCTGTAAGCTGTCTAGGGTCGCCCTTTGGCTGGATGGGTGGCATGCAAGATGGATCAAATAAATAAAATATCATAATCAGAGGTGGTCTTCAGCACGTTCTGACCAGTTCTGGAGAACCGGTAGCAGAAATTTGGAGTGGTTCGGAGAACCGGCAAATCCCACCTCTGACTGGCCCCGCCCCCATCTATTCTCTGCCTCCCATTGAGTCCCAGCTGATTGGCTGGGTCTTCTTTGGTTGCCCTGAACAGGAGAACGGAGCTGGAAAGCAGGTTGGTGGGGTGGAGAGGGAATGGAGATTTTGCAGTAAATTTCCCCCAGGAGTGGGGAGGGAATGGAGATTTTACATGCCCACCAAGCCATGCCACGCCCACCAAGCCACACCCACAGAACCGGTAGTAAAAAAATTTTGAATCTCACCACTGATCGTAACCTTGTTGGAGCTTGTGAGGGCTGTGGGTCACTTTCTTTTTTCCCCCAACTAGGACTCCTCCGATGGCCTTTTCAAGATGTCTACGTGGAAAGAGAGGCACTACCTCTGTGCGGAGAAATACATACCGTGGCCAGGATTTTCTCCCCAACCCTACCACAAACTAGCTACTCAGAAGCCTCCGTACACAGATTCCAAAATCAAAGTTTGCCAGAAAATCCGTTGCCCCCTCGAAGAAGCTGTCCTCTGGCACATCTGGGGCTACCATACCTGGTTGGATGTAGGGAGGTTGCCGCCCGTCTACCGATCCAGACCGGACAAGCCTTTTGATAGCAACACCTGGCGATGGATCACTGCTCCCAGGAAGCCTTCCTTGACCGAGCCGCCCGTCCCACCTCCTTCCCTCTTGGATGGGAACACCTACACCAAGTTCATCGAAGGGGAAGGCTTGTTTGTGGACCTCAGGCACAAGAAACGAGTCCTGGGCCTAACGCAGAAAGAAGTGAACAAGTGTGAGCAACTGAAGTTCCGGAGTGAGTGTCGGGCTCCACCTTTAGATGCTCACGGAAACATCATGCCTCCCGAAATGCTCAGGCGGTAAGATAGCAATATCACTTAAGACTTATATATTGCTTTGTAGTGCTTGACAGCCCTCTCTAAGCAGTTTACAGAGTCAGCCTCTTGACCCCAACAATCTGGGTCTGTGATGACCCAGATTATACCACAAACGTAACAAAATCCAAAACGTAAATAAATGTCCTTTAATGCCTCCAACTTGGCCCCACTGTTCAATAATTCTCAGTTGGAGATAAAACGTACTCAAAAATAGTCTTCAAAAGAAAGCAATACAGTCCAAACTTAATGAGCAGATAAAGGTGAAATAAAAAAAACCAAAACAAACTGCAATGATGAAATTTCCACAACGGACTAGGATAAGGAATTACCAAATTCAAAGAGATAACACGGCACAGTCTGTTGGAAGGACGCCAACCAAGATAACTTCAGCCCAAGATAAAACACGCTTTGCTTCTGGCAACGCTGTGTTGTAATTGTCTCTCTTATATACTAGTCTCCCCAGCTGCCACCAATGAGGGGGATCATGGCCGCTTCCTTTCTCATAAGCCAAGTTGTTTCCTTCTCCATTCCTCCCTGCATGTCCTAGGATTCAGAGGGGATGGGCCTGGTTCTTCCTCTGACTGCCCAGCCAGCCTCTGCCCTTCCCCAGCCTCTTCCACAACCTCTGGAGCCACATCTCCACTCCCTGTCGGTTGTTCTTCCTCTCCCTCAGAGTCCAACTCTACCAAGGGCATGACAGGGTCCTCATTTTACCCACCTCGGAAGGATGAAAGACTGAGTCAACCTCAGATCAGTGGCAGTATGCTATCGGTTTGGACTGGTTTGCCTGAACCAATAGTAAAAAATGCCTCCCACGATCAGCTGAGGGGAGAAAGAAGAGAAAAGAGTAAGATAAGCCCTCCCACCCACCTCAGCGCTTTTCTCTCAGCTGTTGTTCTGTGAAGTGCACCCGATTTTATGAAGTTTATTTGCTGGTTTGTTATTAATTGAAGTATTGCAATTCAGCGAAACATGTGGTTGTTAAACAAACCCAGCTCACTTCATTGACTTTGCTCATCATAAGCCAACTGGGAAGGTCGCAAATGGTGATCATATCACCTCAGGATGCCACAATACAGCTAAACCTCTATTTATGGCCAACAGTTCATTTAGTGACCATTCAAAGCAGAACAGCACCGAAAAAGGTGACTTATGACCATTTTTCACACTTATGACCATTGCAGTACCCCCATGGTCATGTGATCAATGTTCAGACACTTGGCAACTGGTTCATATTTATGACGGTCGCAGTATCATGGGGTCGCATGATCCCTTTTCGCGACCTTCTGACAATGGGAAGCCAAATTCACTTAACAATCCTGTTAGTAACTGAACAACTGCAGTGATTCACTTAACAACTGTGGCAAGAAAGGATGTAAAATGGGGCAAAGCTTGCTTAACAACGGTCTTGCTTAACAGCAGCAATATTGGGTTCAATTGTGGTCATATGTTGAGGACTATCTATATATCAAAATGGGAACAAGAAGATGGACAGGTGGACAGCAGCGAGCCAGGGGAGAGGTAGAGACTGCCATCAATCCAGCATCCACCTACACCTCCGGTATAGAGCTCCACAATATAGTCCCCAGCAGAATTGTTCCTATCACCTATAGACAGAATCTTGCCAAATTAAAGCAAACCACTTCCATCATTAAAATGTACTCAAAGAACTTCTAGGGAGGAGCTGTGTGGATTCTCTTCCTCCCAACTAAACTATCTAAATTTTGTCTACAGAGATCCAGGTCATGGTTGTCCCAAAGGTGCTTTTTTCACCGAAAGCTAACTGTACTTTTGTGTGTGTATGTGTGTATGTGTGTGTGAAGACATTTCGCTTCTCATCCAAGAAATTTCTTCAGTTCTGACTGAAGAACTGAAGTCAGAACCGAAGAAGCTTCTTGGATGAGAAACGAAACATCTTCAAGGAAAAAGTCCAGTTGCCTTTTGAAAAGATATCTAAATTCTGCTCTCTCTTGGTCACCCGGAATGCAGCTCTTCCCCTCCTGGGAATCCAGACTACATTCCACTACATTAGCTGTTTCTCAAGCTCCCTTCGGTGCTGGAGATTTTGCGTTATCTGAGGAGACTTCCAAGTAGTTGGGTTATGGAGGGACACTGGCAACCTCCAGAGCTGGATTGCATTTCCTTCCTGTTTTGTTCCTCCTCCGTTTTCTTTTGTTCTGACTTTTCTACTTCCCTCTCAGTTCTGCTGCCTATTAAAAGGGAAGTTCTGGTGCCTTGTGCTATTGTGGTCAACAATTGTGTGTGCCTTCTGTTCAAGCAGTTGGATCCCGGTGCTCCTGAGAGTTTCTCACTTTCCTAGTGTCCTAGTGGAACTCTGAAAATAGAGTCCTCTCAGTGTGTATTTGCAACGGGGCCAATCTCTCCCTTTGGCGGAGAATTTAGGCTCATTTTTTCAGCCCTCATCTCAAGGAGACCATCATCTTGGACCATTGATTCATTCTTAAACAGTCCAGCAACAAACCATGGCTTCCCCATGGCTTGGAAGGAGACCCTGTTCCAACCTAGGCTTCTCCAACAACACGAAGTCGACTCCTCATCCCAGTAAACCCCTTTTATTTAGTTTACAGTGAATTCCTCTCCAGCAAAGTCAGGGCCAACAGTCTTTCAAGAGATTTCACAATTACAGACCTTTATCAGGCTTGGAGAGCTGCCAGGTCGATATCTTCCAAACGTCACTCTGTAGCAGACAATACTTGGCAAGGAGTCAGGAACAGATCTTCACCCTAATGAATTGAACTGTCTCCTGCAAATACCCCTCCCCTTTCGCTCCTCTTTTATTCCCTATGGGAGGGGCCATTCACAGTACACCTGTGCCCTTGCTCCCGAGTCGACCCTTGTTCCTTAGCTCTTCCTTTCTTCTGCCAGCTCTGTGCAAGTGCACACTGGGAACAGGCTCCAGCTATTCTTCTGCCTCAATGATGTCCAACTCTGACGGCAGCTGATAACTGTCAGACGGCCCTGGCTCCATCTCTGCCTCCGATGCAGAGCCCTCGTTAGAGCCTTCCTCAGACTCCAAGACTGGCCCATGTTCCTCCCCAACCTCCTCACTGTCCGATTCTGCTGCCAGCACTGCTGACCGCTGGTGGGCCACAACCGATCCGGCAAATCTAGGTCTTATCTCAGCTTAATCTAAAATGCCGGTAGGCCTCAACCTACGACCAAAACAGAGCCTCAGATTTCTACTATTGAGTGAGACATTTGTTATGTGCATTTTTGCCTTGTTTTATGACCTTTCTGGCCCCAGTTGTTGAAGGAATCCCTTCAAGTGCTAAGTTACTAACATGGTTGTTAAGTGAATTTTGGATTCCCCGTTGACTTTGCTCGTCAGAAGTTCGCGAAAGGGGATCACATGATGCTGAAACAGCATAATATTATAAATATAAAATATAAATACAAATATAAACCAGTTGCCAAGTGTCCTGAATTTTCATCCCATAGCCATGGGGATGCTGCAGTGGTCATAAGCATGAAAAAAAAGTCATGCCACTTTTCTCAGTAGTGTTGTAACATGCGACCCGTCACTAAACGAATGGTTGTAAATTGGGGATTACCTGTACCTCTGAGTAATCTGTAGATTATGGTACACGATAGCAATAGCAATAGACTTATATAGTGCTTCAAAGTGCTTTCCAGCCCTCTCTAAGCAGTTTACAGAGTCAGCCTATTGCCTCCAATAATCTGAATCCTCATTTTACCGACCTCAGAAGGACGGAAGGCTGAGTCAACGCTGAGCCAATCAGGATTGAACTGCTGGCAATCGGCAGAATTAGCTTGCAATACTGCATTCTAACCACTGTGCAACCATTGCAGAGATAGCAATAGCACTTTGACTTATATACCCAATTCACAGTGGTGTACTTGTAATAGATGTATGATGATAGCAATAGTCAGCCAGGATCAACCTGCCGGCAGTTGGCAGAATTGGATGCAGTACTGCAGTCTAACCACTGTACAAGCATTGCAGAGATAGCAATAGCACTTAGGCTTATATACCACTTTACAGGGCTCCACAGCCCACTCTAAGCGGTTAATAGAGTCAGTACATTGCCCCCAACAACCTGGCTCTTAATTTTACTGGCCTCGGAAGGATGGAAGGTTGAGTCAACCTTGAGCTGGTCAGAATCGAACTGCCAAACAGCTGGCAGCTGGCAGTCAGCAGAAGTAGACAGCATTCTAACCACTGCACCCACACGGCTCTTAATATACTTGTAATAGACGTATGGTGTTAGCAATAGTCAATCAGGATCAAACTGCCATCAGTCAGCAGAATTAGACTGTACAACCATTGCAGAGATAGCAATAGCGCAGACTTATATACCACTTCACAGTGCTCCACAGCTCACTCTAAGTGGTTTAGAGAGTCAGCCTATTGCCCCCAACAATCTGGGTCCTCATTTTACAGCCGGTCAGGATTGAACTCTGGGCAGTGAGCAGAGTCAGCCTGCAATACTGCATTGTTACAACTGTGCCACTATGCTTGCTTGCTTGCTTGCTTGCTTGCTTGCTTGCTTGCTTGCTTGCTTGCTTGCTTGCTTCCTTCCTTCCTTCTTTCCTTCCATCCTTCCTTCCATCGTTCCTTCCTTCCTTCCGTCGTTCCTTCCTTCCTTTCCTTCCTTCCTTCCTTCCTTCCTTCCTTCCTTCCTTCCTTTTCTTCTTTTTCCTTCCCCTTTCTTTCTTTTTCCTCCCTTGCTCTCTTCCCATCTTCCCATCTTTTTCTTTGTCTTCCCTCTTTCCCTTTCTCCATTCCTGCCACTCCTTCTTTTTCCTTCCTTCCTTCCTTCCTTCCTTCCTTCCTTCCTTCCTTCCTTCCTTCCTTCCTTCCTTCGCAAGCACTAGCACTTAGACTTATCTACTGCTTCATAGTGCTCAGAAGGATGGAAGGCTGAGTCAACCTTGAGCTGGTGAAAATTGAACTGCCAAGCTGCTGGCAGCCAAAGTAGCCTGCAGTACTACATTCTAACCACTGCGCCACCACCACTCTTACGATGCTGGCTTCCTTAATGCAATCCTGGTAAGCAACGGTAACAGTTGTTATTGTTCTCCTTATCTTTTGGACAGGTACAAACATCTGCTTTCAGGAAGAACCCCGGCCTCCGTCTGTGTGACGCTACAACCTGTGGTACCTTCTTCTCCAGAATGTTGGAATTATCCCTGTCCGAGCTTTCAACCCCATTACCAAGACTCTGCTGTTAAGTTTGCTCTGAAGAACAGTGGCCCCCTTTACAAGGAAGTGGTGGACAAATACCAGGAACTGGTCCTTTGTGGGAGCCAGATACGGTATTCCACTCCAGCCAGCCAAATAAGCAAACAAACCTAAATTCTACCCTCTAAAAAGTCCAGATTTGGGATGTCCAAATACAGTCCGGACTAGCTACCAGCATTTACCCCAATGTTGTCATTCTGGGTGTACGTACATTAATTTTATAGTCATTCCTTCTCCCAACAATATCCTCTGGGAAGTTGAACACTGGGGTCCTCATTCATGATGAACACAGGTCAGAGGTTTGTGGGAGTGGAAAAGAAGCAGCATTCTTGCCCTGCTAATGGTAAGAGATGCTAGTTAAGAGCTGCTCGTTGACCAACTATTTGCCCAATAGAGCAAACACATGTTGATTAGGAAGCACAAACCATCATTGACACAAGCTGCTTTTCTGAACTTTTCTACCAAGCTTCAATACTGGATACAACCTACATGTGTTGGACCGTATTTTGGATATGTTGTAAGGGGACTACTCAAAATTCAGAGATCCAGTAGCTGTGGGGAGTTAGTTGTAGATCCCTTGTTCAACATAACAAAGAAGGAGAAAGATGTTCTTCAGTCTTTGAGCAATGTTCTTAAATAATGATGCTTCTTCCTCACCCTTGACACTTCCATCTTCTGTCCATCTCACTCAAGGGTCTTCAAATTTGGCAAGTTTAAGACTTGTGGACTTCAACTCCCAGAATTCCTTTTTTTATTATTAATGAAGTTTTACTGAATAAAGTGTTAAAAACATAGGATGCGGTGTGATCGTCCTGACATTCCTGTTTGTCATATATATTACAGTTGTCATGCCCCTGTTGGAATCTGATTCCGAGGGGGAGGTTGAACAGCTGACAGGGAGTGGGAATATGGCTCTGGTGGCTGTGGAGGAAACTGGGGAAGGGCACAGGCCAGCTGGGCATTCAGAGGAAGACCCAGGCCTACCCCCTCTTCATCCTAGGGCATGCAGGGAGGAACGGAGAAGGGAGCAAGTGGGTTACGGGAGAGAGAAGGGCCCTGATTCCCTTCATTAGCTGCAGCTGGGAACACAGGGTTTAAAAAGGGCATTTGCGCACAGCACCTTTCTGGAAGCAAAGCGTGAATTATATTTGTTTGTCGAGGCTTATCTGGGTTCTGGCGTCCTTCCAACTGTGTGTGTTTCGTTATCTTTTGAAGTCTGCAATTCCTTATCCTGCTTTGTCTCATTAATTGCTACAGTGTGGTTTGTGTTGATTTTTATAATTTATATGTACTTTGGGTTCAGACTGAATTTCTTCCCTTTGGTCATGCCCCTGGTGGAGACTGACTCTGAGGGAGAGGAGGAACAGTTGACAAGTAGTGGAAGTGTGACTCTGGAGGTTGTGGAGGAGGCTGGGGAAGGGCAGAGGCCGGCTGGGCAGTCAGAGGAGGACCCATCCCCTCTCCATCCTAGGACATGCAGGGAGGAGAGGATAAGGGAGAGACATGGTCTACTCAGGAGGAGAGGGCCTTGGGATTCAATTTTTTTTTACTACCAGTTCTGTGGGCATGGCTTGGTGGGCATGGCAGGGGAAGGATACTGTAAAATCTCCAGTCAGAGGTGGTATTTGCCGGTTCTCTGAACTACTCAAAATTTCCGCTACCGGTGCTCCAGAACTGGTCAGAACCTGCTGAATACCACCTCTGCTTGATCCTCTTCATGGGCTGCAGCTGTGACAACTGGATAAGAGGATGGACCTGAATACTGGCGAGTGCTGGAAAAAAAGCATGGAAATATCTCTAATTTATGGTTCCTCTCTGAGTTTGGCATCCTTCCCAGTGTGTGTTATCTGTGGACGTCCTCCAGCCCTTATCTTGCCTGGTTTGTGTTATTTTTTACTCTTTATAATTTAAACAGCATTTCTTCCTTCTTGTAACTGTTTGTGTGGGAGTTTTTTTTTGTCTCCAGTCAAGGATATTTGGAGCTTGGAAGCAAAGTGAAGGAATATAAGGGGCTTCACCTGTTTTTTGTGACTGTGTTTATTTTGTATCCCACCCTGGGTCATCACACCTTTACAGACCGTTATTGGGAGAGTTTTCTTTTCTCTAGCCAAAGATAACTGGACATTGGGGGCCCAGTTGGAGGTATTAAAGGGATTTTACCTATTTTTGTGATTTTGTTGCTTTTGTGCCACGCCCGGGGTCATAACAACAACAGCATGGAATACATGCTTTATATACATTTACACATTTATGTAATACTTTATATTTCTAATTATCTGTTCTGCCAACCCTTGTTTAATTTGATTCTGGATCCTTCCTGTTTTCCCCACCATTGACAAAATTTATCCCATACTTTATAATATTCTATCTCATCTTTATTTTTCATTTCCAAAGTTAATTATCCATCTCAGCGCTTATCCACATCTTTTTTATTACTTCACTTTCATCGGGAATTTCTTTGTCTTTCTACTTCTGAGCAAAGGTCAACCTTGCTGCCGTGATAACTCTCCCAGAATTCCTGAGCTAACCTGACTGGAGGAGGAATTCTGGGAGCTGAAGTCCACAAGTCTTAAAGCTGTCAAGTTTGAAGACCCCCTGCCTCTAACACAATAACGTGGCAGCAGAAATATAACAAGTTCTTTCTGCTCTACTGTGCATGCTGGACCAGAAATATTTGCATTTTAAAGCCTTATTTTGTTTCAAAGTTAAAACGCTCACGTCTAACGGACACTAAGCGTACGTTTTACTGCTAAACATGTTTGTAATAAATTAATTTAAATGGTCTGCCGGATATAGAATTGAGATTCCAATCAATTACAGATGGTTCTCAACTTACAACAGTTCGTTGAGTGACCGTTGGAAGTTTCAAAGGCACTGAAAAAGATGACTGATGAATGTTTTTCACACTTGAGACCAGGGGTGGGATACATTTTTTTTTAACAACTGGTTCTGTGGGTGTGGCTAGCTGGGCATGGCCATGTGACTGGGTGGGCTTGGCTTCTTCTTCTTCTTCTTCTTCTTCTTCTTCCCCTCCCCCCTCCTCCTCTCCTTCTCCTTCTTCATGAGCACACCCACCAACACACATTTTTTTTGCCTCCTGGGCCTCAGGCAAGCCTCCTGGAGAGCGTTTTTGCTCCCAAGAAGCTTCTTTGGGGCCCAGGAAGGCAAAAAAATGGAGCATGGCAGGAGAAGGTTACTGCAAAATCTCCATTCCCTCCCCACCCCACTAACCTGCTTTCCACCTCCGTTCTCCTGTGCAGGGCAACCAAAGGAGACCCAGCCGATCAGCTGGGACTCAATGGGAGGCAGAGAATAGATGGGGTTGGCGGGGCCAGTCAGAGGTGGGATTTGCTGGTTCTCCAAAGTACTCAAAATTTCTGCTACCGGTTCTCCAGAACTGGTCAGAACGTGCTGAATACCACCTCTGATGCTGACCAACAGAAAGTTTCTATAAATGCTGCAAATGCAAAATGAAACACACACACATATACACACAGTTTCAGCCAATCCCCATCCTCTCTGCATGCAATAAATGGGGCATGATTTTTTGACCCTCTCCCTAGATTGAAAAAATTATGCAGCTCTTTAGTTTCATTATGTTTGTTTCTGTTCACATGACAGGTTCAACTGAATTGGTCCCGCAACCCAACAATATTTCTTTATACTAGATCTGGAAGGACACAGTCATGCAAACTGGGTCACAGTGTCCTCCATATTGAAGACTGCAGAAGTCGCACCCGCTTCCTTCAGGCCTGCCCACAAAACTTCATTTCATCAATGGTTCTTTTCCCATTGGTCAAGGAGGCAGCGGGAGGTGGGGTATGAGTGCTAGAGCCAATTAGCCTTTTGGAAGGCGTGTCCTGTGTTGCCAAGTCTTGTTGGTGAGTGTAGAAGGCAGAAGGCCTTGAAGGAGAGAAGGAAGAGATCCTATCAAGGCAATAGCAATTGCACTTAGACTTATACACCGCTTTACAGTGCTTTCTCTAAGTGGTTTCAGTCTATGGCCCCCAACCATCTGGGTCCTCGTTTTACTGACCTCGTAAAGTTGGAAGGCTGAATCAACCTTGAGTCAGTGAGACTCGAACTGCTGAACTATCCCATCCTGTCCCAGCCCATTCCATATTTTCTATTCAATTCCATTCCATATTTTCCATTCCATTCCATTCCATATTTTCTATTCCATTCCATTCCATATATTCTATTCTATTCTATTCTATTCTATTCTATTCTATTCTATTCTATTCTATT